GGGGAGGGAGGGAGGGAGGGGGAGGGAGGGGGAGGGAGAGGTAGGGACCACGCACAAAAGAATAATAGAGATTTGTCAAAGCACGTCCACACCAGCTGTCCCTATTTAATCAACTCCCACCGAATATTGCGCATCACGCAGCCGTCTTCCTTATTCGATATTATCCAGCCATTTCGTCTTACCATCGCTGGACGTCCTTGGTGTACCCCCTAGCCATCAACGTCGCCTCGTTTCCACGCGAGTGCGTATAAGGAACGCGATCACGCCTCACAGTGCGGCCGGGAGGGGCACCCCCCGACAGTGATGGAGGAGGCACGTCCTCTTGAGTGTGTAGCATGTGCGTTTCACATGCGCTGTGCACGAGCACGACACGTCATGCTCGTGCGACTCCGACTGAACAATCGTCGGCACACTGTGAGCAAAGAGCAAGGCGCGAGAGGCGACACAAGTGCGGCGGGGTAAAAAACCATTTGGTATGTCCGATCAGTAAGGATAACCATCGGGCTGTTTATCGGTTGAAGTGGGCCGATTCTGCGTTAACGACGATTTTTCAGTGTCGAAGGGGGGTGGTGATGCCTCGCCACTTCTCCGCGGGCATTGATCCAGCTATTCACTCTAAAAAACAGGCGAAGAAGATAACTCGGAGAACCGAATCTTGGATAACATACCAAGGACACACACATTATTACGGCATTATTGCGACCAACACATCATTCCATCGAAACCTTTGCAAAAAGACATTTCGATATCCCATTAGATCAGGTATTGAAAGCAAACGTAAGCGATTAAGGCGGCATTCCAATAAGATACAATAGCCAAATGACGAAGCATTTCTCCGACAATCGACAGAAAGCACAAAGTTGCTGTCCATAGTATACCTACTGAAAACTTTTGAACACGACATTTCGATATTCCAATAGATCAGGTATTGAAAGCAAACATATGTGATCAAGGCGGCACTCCGATGAGATACGATAGCCAACTAATGAAGTGCTCCTCCGACAATCGACAGAAAGCATAAAGACGCCATCCATGGCATACCAACGGGGGAGGGGGGGAAAATAGTAGTACAATCAGAGAAGAGGTGAGGGAGAAGAGGTTAGAGAGAAGAGGGGGCGAGAAGGAGGGGAGAAGGCAGAAAGGTTCATGAGCCATCTTGATGCAAACCAATCCTCACGAGAACAGAGACGAATCGTTTATATTCGTAAAAAAATTATCATTGTTATTATTATTACACGCCACGCTGCCAACCCGCATTCCTGCCACGCGGTCCCAGACTCCCAGGAGCCATGGAGAGAAGAAAAAGGGGGTCAAGAGGGGCGGAGAAGAGGGGGAGGGGGAGAAAGGGGGAAGGGGGAGGGGAAGGGTAAAAGGTTCAAATCCCGCTTCAACTCTCTCCTCCAGATCCGTCGCACGCCTGCATCTGTGCGGATCATCTCGCCGAATTGCGGGAAGGGGGTGGCAGCTCCCTGAAGCGTTTTTCTACTCCATGCCACCTGGGGCATCATCACAGGGGGGACATCTCCCACGGTCTCTGGGAGGCGGGGGGATGGTTGGTGAGGTGGTCGTGTTATGGGGAGGGGGGTAGTGGGAAAGGGGAGGCGGTGGTGGTGGGGTGTGGTGCTGGTGGGAGAGTGGCGGGGGAGGGGGAAAGGAGGGGTTGAGTGGATAGGGGTAGGGGAGGGAATGGATGAAGTAGAGGAAGGAGAGAAAGGAGAGAAATGAGAGAAAAGCCAGAAAGGCGCATGCCGACTCCTCCGCCGCGGATCTACGCTCCATCGCCTCGTTCCTCACTAGAACTCGTAGCTCCACCAATGCTCAAGCCACCCCTGAGCACCTATCACAAAAAACAAGCAGCCGCAGCAGGCAAGGAGGAGGGCCGCAAAGCAAATGGTGCAGCAGAGCAAACACGCGAAGCGTCTCGGCGCAAACCGAAGGAACACGCTCTCTGAGAGGCAGGCAATCATCAGCGCACTGGCTATGGCGAGATTAGGAAGCACCGCTAGGAGAAGGAAAAGGAAAAATATGTGGGCGACGTTTCGCGCTGGCATGGGGGGGAGGGGGAGGGGGAGGGGGAGGGGGAGGCAGGCCGGAGCAGGTTCGGTGGGGCAGGTAGAGGCCGCATGCATGATGTCCGGCCCAGGAGTGCTCGTGCCCCAGGGTATGGTCACAGAACCAGGAGGGTGCCGTCGTTCGGCAAGGTTACCACTTCCTCCTCGTTTCTCTCCACCTCGTCCAGGTCCCAGTCCGCGAAGAAGTCCATGCCGTCCGTCGATCCCACCGTTCTCCGTGATCACGAAAAGAACGGTTTCCCCGTCAGTCAAATGCTGGTCGCACAAAATTCTGATGAATAGAGCCCCTGCGTTCTGTTTAGATATAGTCGTGGCGAGGGTTCTTAACTATAGTCTTCTGATACAAGCCATCGTTACTATCCATCCACTTACGCATGCCTATCCTACGTACAGAAAAAAGAAGAAAAGGAAAAAAAGGGAAAGAAAAGAGGAAAAGGAAAAAAAAAGGGGAAGGAGGAAAAAACGAAAAAAGGAAAAAAGGCAAATAACAGGAAAAACGGGAAAAACCGGAGGGTTGGTGGGCAGGGAATTAGGATGGGCCAGTCGTACAGCAGGTCGATCGAATCCAAGTTACTGCGCGTGGCGGGGGAACGATCCTAGGGTCCCCGCACCCTGTAAGCCATTCGTCAAAGTCCGAGAACGAGCTATTCTCCCCGTCTAAGAACTGGCGTGTAAGGGTTCAAATCCGGTTCGGTCGGGGTCATGGCTAAGGAGAAATGAGTACATGGGCGAGGAGGGGAGGAGGAGGGGGGAGAGGGGAGGGGGGAGGAGTCAATCAAAAAAAAGGGGGGAGAGAGAGAGAAAATGGAAAAAAGGAAAAAGGAAGGGAGGGGGGAGGAGTCAATCAAAAAAAAGGGGGGAGAGAGAGAGAAAACGGAAAAAAGGAAAAAGGAAGGGAGGGGGGAAAAAAGGCAAAGAAGAAGAAAAGAAAGGAAAAGAAAAGAAAAGAAAAAAGGAAGGAAAAGAAAAGAAAAGAAAAGAAAAGAAAAGAAAAGAAAAGACAAGAAAAGACAAGACAAGGAGAGGAAGAAAAGAAAGAAAAGAAAGAGCAAGTATTCAGACGAGAGGGTCAGGAAAAGGAAAAAGGAAATAAGGGGGGAAGGGGGAAAAAAACAGGGTGGGGGGT